ATCTGTATACTGATGTGGTAATATAATATCACGTTTAATGCAGAGACTGTTGCTCTCGTTTGTGAATAAAGACCTTCTCTTTGAATCTTTGTGCCAACTCATATTGAGTAAACTGAGGCTCCAGTATACCGTACAGTTTGTATGTCTCGCATACGAAACACGTCCAACTTTCAACCCATATACCCTCAATGTTCTTTTTTACTCAGTTCAGTTTTGCTCTCTTGTCATCCGGCCTCTGCATCATTCTGTGAATGAATAGTAACTCTCTCAGTGCAGAAATGTCTGGTAACATTTACCTTGATTATCCCGCTAAGATAAAAGCACAATCCTTGATCTATGGTGTAAGATTGTATTTGTATTCCTTAACGTCTTTAAGGCTTTTAAATTAAGCTCTCACCTGTAACCATTTAATAAGTTGCGTTTGATTTAATGACGACCTTAATGTAGCTTTGCTGGACCGGTTGACGTAAGATTCTTATGACATTTCTTACTGTCTGGGAGAAGTTCACTCCTCTGAGATAATGAGCAATCAGGTCCTTGAGCACAGATGTAAGAATACAGGACCACAGAAAGAAATGGCTGCAGTCTCACACACCTGCGGAGCTCAAGGCGGAGAACCTCTCAGGCTGGAGAAGGTCGCCAGAACAAAAGTTGCCAATCTGTCTTTCTCTCGATCAGTGTATTTTTCTATGGGAAATTTCCCTGCTCAGAGTCACCAGCAGTTTGCGAATGGTGGGGCTATCTCTGTGACCAGGGTCGGCAGAGTTAGGATCTCTTAAAAGAAAGATTTTACTATGAATCGTTGGAGTTGACGTGAGAGTCGGAGTAAGGGGTCAAACGCATCTTCCCAGTTGGACCGGAAAGATGGATTTTACTGTAACTATTGTCTCAGTTGGAGCTTTTGTGACTCACTTAATAAACTTTCGATTTTAAACAACGGTATTGGTGTATCCACCAAGTCTATTACAATGATGTTAAGGAGGATTACGCTGCCTGTGACGAGTTACCAACGGTTAGATTGGCTTAACGAGAGAAGGTTAGTCTGGTTGTCAAAGCGAGATAGTGGTTTCGACTGTCTGTGAGGAGGGACAGAGAGAGGGTCAGACTGGCTTTTATGAGAAGAGAGGGTTTAGACTGACTTCGATCAGAAAGATAGAGAGTTTGGTTGGCTTTGAGGAGTGAGAGAGAGAGGGTTAGACTGGATTTAATGAGAGAGGGTTAGACTGAGAGAGAGAGAGGGTTAAATGAGCTGTGATGGTAAACAGAGGATTGGACTGACTGGGATGAGAGTGAGGAGACACTGTAAGGGATAGAACATTCTAATTGGGATTGAAAAACTAAAGAGTGTACATTAATTTATGACGCACCAAGCAAGTAGTACAAGACGATATAGGTTTTGAGTTGCACAGGTAATTTCTGGACCCATCGCCATGCTAAAGTTTATTTGGCAAATAGCAAAAAAGGTAAAAAAAATGTGTTTTGTTTCAGATTTGCGTCAACAGTGTCTAATTAATAAACCATTGCTTTGTGTGGAAATCTCCAAGGGAACATGGCTTGGCTATGATTTACTGCCAGACTCTGACCAGGGTGTGCTATTACCTGTACAGCCCAGAACATTGAAGCCACATCACTGAGAGGCTCGGGAGCCAAAGGCAGGAACCGCAGCTCAGTCAGTGGGGAGACAAGACGGTGAGTCTCTTATTAGATCTGATTGTGGCTGAAATAAAGTCATACTGTTATCCCAGGTTGTACGCGCACAGAGAGAACAACCCATATAAATGCAAGTTGTTGTTGTTCGTGCAACGTTTATTGTAATGAAGGAAATCAGGACTAACTGAATGAGCAAGAGTTACAATACCGTTTGGTTCATATTCTGTGATCGTGCTTCTCACTGTGTGTGTTTGTGTGTCCATATAATGATTTTAACAATGACGGCTACATCGTCTGTTATTAACAATGAGCACCTCAATATAGTCAGATATTTACAGTGTGTGTATACGAGTCTTCGTGTGTTTTATGATCTGTATGAATCCATTTTTGAAATCTTTGCTTTCATGTGTCTGTCTCTGTTGTTGTTACAGATGGTGTTTAATATCCTCTGGCCACTAAACAGGGAGAACCTCTATACAGTCTGAAGTTAACAGTGTGTATGCAGATCTGTATTTGTGTATGTCTGTGCTGCCGTGTTTCTGTGTGTGCGCATCTGTTGCTGATGTTCATTTGCTGTGGTTGTTAATCTGTGCCTACAAACTGTGTTCTATGGCAGCTATCTGGGGTTTAGTGGCTGCCATCTCGTGTTGAATAGCTGCAAACTCGTGTTCAGTGACTGCTGGCTGGTGTTTATTGGCTGCTCGCTGGTGTTTATTGGCTGCTCGCTGGTGTTGATTGGCTGTGGTGGTGTTTAGTCGTTAAGGCTGGTGTTTACTGGCTGTGTCTGAAATTTTGTGACTGTGGAAGAGTTTATTGGCTCTTAACTTGCGTCTGTTGTAGCGGGTGTGTGTGTGTGTGTCTGCATAATTGTGATCGAGTATGTGTTTCTATGTTCATGCATATGTGTGTTTGTGTGTCTGTGTGTGTTTATATAATTTTACAATGATGGTTATATTGTCTGATATTAACAGTGAGCAACTCAATATATTCAGATATTTACGGAGTGTGTGCGTGTGCCTGCCTGTGTTTTCTGATCTGTATGAATCTAAGTGTGAATCTATGCTATCATGTGTCTGTGTCTGTTGTTGTGATAGAGGGTGTTTAATGTATCTCGCTGTTTAGTGGCCTATGTTCTCTGATATTAATAGGGATCCCCCACCATACAGATCTACACACACATTGTCAACATCAGACTATATAGAGGTGCTCCCTGTTAATACCAGACAGCCAGAGCCACTAAACATCTGGAAGATATTAAGCTTCATCCGCAACAGACACAGACACATGAAAGCATAGATTTACACAATCACACACAGACCAACAAACACTGGTAGACGTAAATACATTCCCTAAATATCTGACTATATTGAGGTGCTCACTGTTAATATCAGACGATATAGCCGTCATTGTACAATTATTAAAAAGACCCACACAGACACACACACCTACGCACACACATTGAAACACATACTCGATCACACATACGCACACAAACACACACACATACATCAGCTAGAAGTATGTGTATCGGTGTGTGTATTTATGTGTGTGCAATGTGTTTGTTTGTGTGTAGTTGTGTTTGTATCTGGAAGCCTGTGTTTGAGTGTGTTTGTGTTTGATTCTGTGTGTGCTTGTGTGTTTTGGTGCGCGTGTGTGTTTCTGAATATGCGTGTGTTTGTGCAGCTGGGTTTGTGTGTGTGCGATAGTGTGTGTGTGTTTGTGCATCTGTGTTCGTGTGTACGATTGTGAATGTGTGTGCATTTGTATATTTTTGTGTGTGTGTGTTTTGTTTGTTTGCATATTTGTGTCCATGTGCGTATTTGTTTGGGAGTAATTTTTGTGTAAGTGTGCCTGTGTTTTTGCGTGCGTGTACTTGTTTGTTTGTGTGTGTGTGTGTTTGTGCTTGTGTGTGTGTGTCTGTGTCTGTATTTATCTATGGTACATGTGGTTGTTTGTGTGTAGTGTGTTTATGTGCTTGTGCGTGTTTGTGAGTTTTTGTGTGCGTATCTCTATCTGTGTTGGTATACATTTGTGTGTCTGTGTAGGCGTGTATGTGCGTGTGTTTGGGTATCAAACAAACTGTGAGTGACAGTGGGTTACACACACTGTGTTTACTTTAATCCCAGTTATGTCTCTGTGTCTCTGATCTCCAGGTTGGACAGTAACAATCTGACAGCTGATTGTACCGAGGATCTGACCTCTGCTCTCAGCACAAACCACTCACTGATGAAGCTGAACCTGAACCATAATAATCTGAGAGATTGTGGAGTGAAGCGACTGTGTGAGGCTCTGAGGAACATGGAGTTTAAAATACAGAGTCTGTGGTAAGTAACACACTGTGTCTCCAGTGTCTGAATGACTCGAATATCGCACTGTGTTTTTTGTGACTGTCTGATCAGTGCGGCTGAATATTGTGGCAGGCATCCGTGTGACAGTGTGAGGCCACAAGCCATCTTCTACATCAAACTCTCGACATGTGTTAATAAGAAACCATGCGCTGGAAACCCCAGCTCTGGTGACATGCGGACAGTCACAGCTCCGACCCCTAAACTGGCTCCAAGCCCCAAACTCGCTCCCATTGTATCTAATCCCGAAGCTCCTGCCCTGGTCCCATCAATACCTCCACACACTGTGGGTTTGTAATTCTCTACTATTGTCAGCCGTGTGTCTGACACACACACAAACCTGTCATCAGGCTTCAAACTCTCGAAACCAACCTCCTAACAGTTCCACATCTGACTGGAGATTTGTATGTGTGAAATGGCACATTCGCTCCTGGTCAGCGGCGATAAATTGTGGGCGAATCTAGAAGCAGCCTCACTGGGAGCTCGGAGCAGCACTGAATAATTTGTGTTTGTTGATTAGTATTTTTGTTCATGCATGTGTCTGTTTCTGTGTGTGTGTGCCTGTGTGTGATGTTTATGTGTGTATTGGTGTGTGTTTATCTGTGTGTTCTGTGTACGTGTGTTTCTGTGTGTGTATTTTTTTGCGCTTGTGTGAGTGCGTGTCTGTGTTTATGATTTTGTGTTTGTTTACGATTGTGTGTGCTGTGGTTGTGAATGTTTCTGTGTTTGCATCTGTGAGTGAGATAGTGTGTGTGTGCCTTACGGTTGTTTGTTTGGGGGTAGTTATCTCTATATCCACTTGTGGCCTCTAACGTCTCTTCCTTCGGTGGGTGACGGTCTGTAGTGAGTTACAGTGGTTTATATACACTGTGTTTACTCTATCCCTGTTATGCCTCTGTGTCTGATCTTCAGGCTGTGGGGTAACAGACTGACCGATGGCTGCACTGATGGTCTGGTCTCCGCTCCCAGTACAAACCGCTCAATGAGGATTCTGGAATTGGTGTTTAACTCCTTCACAGACGGCTCTGTACCCGCTCTGCGCCGCCTCATACTGACCTGCACCAGTCTGGAGGGGATCAGGTGTGTGTTTGTGTTAGTGTTTAATGTGATGAACACATAGAGAAAGGGCTGCGTATCAGAATGGGAACAGTTTGAAGAGATTTATTTATGTATTAAACGACATGAACAGCTTACAGTTTGTACCATTATCCCATGGGTTTATTTCCTGTTTAATGTGTTTCAGGCTGTGGGGGAATGGGTTCAGTTCAGACGGAGAGAATCAGCTGCGGTCACTGCGGGGAATCAGAGCTGAGCTGAGGCGGTGACTGTCCACACAGTCTGTGTAATATGGAATATATTCTGGACTCTGTAGTGACTGATTATTAAAGATGTTAATTCTGATTCCTCTCCCATACCTGGTCTGGGGACCGTTATTGACACACAGCTGCCTACGGGTGTGCGGGTACTGTCTGGGGAGGAGGAGGAGGAGAAGGGAAGGACCCTTTGCATGAGAGCGAGAGAGGAGGACACGGGGCAGAGTGAGCTCAGTGTATCGCGACCTTAAAGATATTTTGCTTTGCCGGGGGCTGAGACTCGGGTGTTGGCGTTGATAAGAGACAGCGAATTGCCAACACAACCCCGAAAACTAAACCTGTGACCCTCCTTCCTGGCGACTCGCCACGTTTTGAGCTGTTCGTAACCCGTTTAATGAACCGTTGGGTATGAAAACCATAATATCTTCCGAAATGACCACCAGTTTGTGGACCACTGGCAGTGAACACGACAGATTAATGTTACTGTCCGGCAGTGATCACCACACGTATAGAAGACCCTGTTTTGGCGTTGAAACGATGTCGAGATATTGGCTTGAAATTGACCGATTTGTCCCCGAGGATTTCATGAATATCTCTTGTTGCTCTGTTTGATGAGGAACCCTTCATTCTCGTGGAAACAACGTGTAATCCTGCGGGGTTTTTTTTGCCAAAAAAAATTACTGTTATCTAACGCCACCAACAGTCTTTTATAGTGAAGTGAACTTTGCTCTTGTGCCGCGGAAAAGGGGAACTCAGTCGGTAACTATAATCCTCCTCTTTAGTAAATGTGTACCGGTGTGTGTGTGTGTGTGTGTCTGTATGTGTGTGTGTATGTGTATATGTGTACGCATTTGTGCGTCTGTGTGTGTATGTGTCTTTCTGTGTGTGTGTGTGTGTGTGTGTGTGTGCTTGTGCATGTGTGTGTGCCTGTGTCTGAATGTCTGTGCATTTGTGTGTATGTGTCTGTGTGTGTTGTGTGCTTGTGCATGTGTGTGTGCCTGTCTCTGAATGTCTGTGCATTTGTGTGCGTGTCTGTATGTGTTTGTCTCTGTGTGTGTGTGTCTGTATCTGTATCTCGGTGTGTGTGTGTTTGTCTGTGTGTGTGTGTCTGTATCTGTGTATCTGTGTGTGTGCCTGTATCTGCGTGTGTCTGTGTGTGTTTTTCTGTGTGTGTGTGTGTTTGTCTGTGTGTGTCTGTGTGTGTGTGTGTCTGTATCTGTGTATTTGTCTGTGTGTGTGTCTGTATCTGTGTGTGTGTGTCTGTGTGTGTCTGTGTGTGTTTGTCTGTGTGTGTTTGTCTGTCTGTGTGTGTGTCTGTGTGTGTGTGTTTGTCTGTGTGTGTGTGTGTGTGTGTGTGTTGTGTGTGTGTTTCCCGCGGTCCCGCCTCGCGCTCAGACAGACAGGCGCCGCGCCCCGAAACACCGTCAGCCCCGCGCCCGGAGACGGCACTGCGCTGCGCCGAGTCACACAATAAAAGAGGCGCCAAATCAGGCGCTGCTCTTCATGAGTCGACGAGAGACACAGAGAGAGAGAGAGAGAGAGACAACAGTGCGGCTATGTCACCCCCGCCTCAGCTCCCCCAACCCCCGCAGCCACACACATACACAGTGAGGAGCCAATGTCAACAACTGGTCACCAGCCACACACACACATACATACAGACAGACAGACAGACAGACAGATGCACAGATGCTCGTTCAATCCCTCTCACCCTCTTTCAAGTACTGCCCGAAAACCTTCCTCTGACCGTCACCTCCTGAGAGTCGCCTTCATCTCAAAACCTTGAACCCACCTCCACCTCCAGGTCCCCTCCTCCCCTCACCCACCAGCCATTTACGTCGCGGCTGTTGCTCTGCCCTCTCCCTGCCCTCCTTTACCCTTATTTCCTCCCCTCCCTCTCAACCGTCATCTCCCAGCTGCGGGTCACTCAACATCCCCTCCTCTCCCCTCTGCTGCCGCTACGGTCAAACCGCCTCTCTCCCGCGGCTCTGGTCCTCATCCGTAAAATCACCTGCTATTCGCGCTCTCCTCCTCATCCTTATTCCTACCGTTATTATTGTTCAAGAGGATGATTTATTTGGGAAAGGCTAACAGCCAATCGACTAACATGGATGTTCTTGCTGACTGCTCGGGGCAAAGCGGAGGGACTGAGGGCGAGTGATCCACTGTTTCGGGGCGCAGTGGCTGAAGGCGCGAGGGACGGGCCGGAGGCCGAAGCCGATCCAGTGGAGGCGCTGCTCAGTTGGTGGACTGAGGAGTGAGGAGGTCAGAGAGGCAGCTCAGGGAGGTGGTAGGGAATGAAGGGAATTGCAGAAGATTGTGATTAACCAACACTACAGGACTCCACAATCAACAAGATCTGTTCTGGTGGACATTAACGATCTCGCCACACAAAATGAGAAAGAGACGGACGTTTCTCTCCCTGATTTCCTGGCCGATAAGACAACCCCCAGATAACATTGGCTGACAAGACAGTCACCAGATAACATCGGCTGACAAGAAAACCCACATAACATTAGCTGACAAGACAATCACCAGATAACATTGGCTGACAAGACAACCCCCTGATAACATCGGCCGGTCATTGTATGATTGTTTACTGCACTTGGTTGTGTGGAGATTGGCTCTACGTTCACGAAAACCCGCCTGTCACCACACTGTACAAGAATATGCAAAGCTTTGAGGCGTTACACATCCTGCATCAAATATACGGCTCGCTGTTATTCTTCCCGTTTCTCGGGCCAGGAATATCATGACTCCTGCAGTCATGACCATCGTAAATTGCAGAGAGAATAGTGACTCTTGTGGGGGTCATGATGAATGTACAAGTCTTTCTCATGGTCTCCTGGGATCACAGTCACAATCAGCTGATTTCTCAAGAAGAGTCTGAAGGAGGGGGTTTCACAGCCCAGTGACTCGGAGCCGCCCATACACTCACACTGGAACTGAAACCAGTTTGAATCAGGAAGTGCTGAGGGGGAAAATGGCTTCTGGACTCCAGACCGAGAGGTGGACCGAGGAGATTATTTGCCCGATTTGTCTGGAATTCTTCACTGATCCTGTTAGCCTGGACTGTGGCCAAAACTACTGTCACTCGTGTATCACCCGGAGCTGGGAAAAGCAGGAGACAAACCGCTGTGCTGTTTGTCAGGAGACTTTGGCAGAAAAGAACCTCAGGGTTAATCGGGCCCTGGCGAGTCTAGCAGAGAGAGCTCGGAAATTCAGCCTGACCCCGACACAGACGGAAATTAACCTTCAGTGTGAGAAACACCGGGAGGAATTGAAGCTGTTATGTGAATCTGACAAGAAATTGTTGTGTTTAGTTTGCAGAGATGCGCGAGAACACAGGGATCACAGATTCCTGCCCATTGAGGAAGCTGTTGAAATCTACAAGGTAACAGTACCCCTCACGAGTGAGTAAATCTATTCCACTTGATGATTCCAGATACAAACACTGTTGTTCTATGTGTTTACTCCAGGATCAAGTGAAATCCTCCTTAGCTTCTCTCGCACAGATGAAGGAAACTGCTCTACAAGCTGAAGCCAAACAGAATCAAAATATTTCACAACTAAAGGTAAGTTTTATTGGGTTGATTTCCGGACAATCAGATTGTCTCTATTTATGGTGTATAAAGTGTGTGCGGTCTCAGTGTGTCTCTCTTTACTGTGTGCAGATTGTGATATCTCAGTGTGACTACCTTTACTGTGTATACACGGTGTGATGTTTGACATTTTGCAGGAACAGGCGAGCAGTCTGCAGACCCAAGTCAAAAACGATTTTGCTAAAATACACCAGATCCTGACTGACAGAGAGCAGCGGGTAATGATAGATCTCAGACAGCGAGAGGAGGAGATTTTACAACGGATGGAGACAAACCTGCGAGAGATTCGGAGCAATTTAGATTCAGTTCAACAAGAAATCTCAGAGTTACAGACACAGATGAAAAGAGACGGGCCGATCTTTTTGCAGGTAAAGAGAATAGATTATAATTGAGCTCCATATCAGTTGCACACAGTCTGGAGAAAAATATCTAATACTGATTGATAAAGATATAAGAGATTGAATTGCTAATTTAGTATATCGTAGTGTGTCAGCAGGTCTGAATTTGTGTCCCCAGCTATTAACTTACATAAATAACATTTTATAGTGGCTGTATATCTGAATCCTCTTACCTTTGGAAATCACTTTGAGTGAATAACTTTGCTGTAATAATGACAGTCAACTCTGTGCTGTAAAATTCTGTTCTGTCTGTCTGATTTTACAATGAGGTGTCTTAAAAATTACATGTGTACAGCGTATTTCACGCCCAGTTCCTTGGGACTTCCTCCTGACGTGAAAGGTGCTCTACACATGTAATCTTTTGTCGTTATTGTTGGTGTCTCAGTGTGAGCTCACTTCTGTCTGTGTTTGATTTCATCAGGAGGAAGCTGCTCGGAAAAAAAGTATGAAATGATCTTTACCAAATATCTCAGAAATTGTTGCACAAACAAACACAATGTGCGGTTTTACATCATAATGAAAAACAGTTGTCATCAACCCCTCTCCTGATAAAACCTTCCATGGACCCATCCCTGCTCACTAACTGCCACCCATCTCCAACCTCCCTTTCCTTTACAAGGTCCTTGAAAGAGTTATAACTTCCCAGCTTCACTCCGTCCACACCTGTCTCTCCCGTCATGAATCCCTCAATCAGGTTTCCTGCCCACAGCACGAAACAGCCTTCATCAAGTTGACAAATGGCACTCTGTCCATCTGTGACCAGGGCTCTCTTTGCCTTCTCCCCCTCCTGGAACTCTCTGCTCCCTTTGACACTCTATCCTCCTCCAATCTCAGCCTTCAAAGTTCTTTCCTTGATTGGTTCACATCGTATCTCTTACACCCATTTCCATTTTGTCTCCGCAAATCTCTTCTCCTCACCCTCTCGTGTGTTGTTCCTCAAGGCTCTGTCTTCGGTCCTCTTTAACCTGTACATACCATCTCTTGGTGACATCATCCTCAGACATGGAGTCAACTCATATGTGCACACATGACACTCAGATTCATCTCTCTCTGCCTCCAACATGAAACCTATGACCACTGCTGGCCTGACAGAATGTTTGTCAAATATCAAGTCCTGGATAAGTGCCAACTTTCTGCAGGTGAATATCAGCAAGACTGAATATCAGTCCGACCTACGCCTTGGGACGTCCTTGTCACATGGAAGCCTACTGTATATAGATGTTAATGTGTATTGTATTGCTGCACTATATTCACCATGTTTGTGTCTCTGTGTGCAGGCAAGAAGAAAATAATCTGGGAGACGGTAGACTGAAGCGACTGAGTGAGGCTCTGAGGAACCCGAAGTTTAAAATACAGGTTCTGGAGTGAGTAACAGAATGGGAAATTCAATCACATGGGAAAAAAACACATCGGTGTCCTACAGTGGCCATAAACACACACAACATGGCCTCTGACAGGTCATAGTCAGAGTTGGTAACTTCTCTTACCACCTTACTCTCACATAAAGATCCCCTCTGTTCACCACAGTACTCAGTGCTCACAGACACAGCCCAGAACCAAAGACACTGAAAGGATATCCACACAGGAGCCCTGCCCTCACCATGTGGCCAGGACTCAGGCCCTCCTCACTGAAGCGCCAGAGTGAGAGGCCCTGGGGACAGATAATCTCACGCTTGATACCCACCTACACACTCTCCCTTGTGAACCCACAGCACTCACAACACGGAGGAGATGGTGTCCATCATTGGGAGGAGGAGCCTCCCTCCTCGCTGATTGATCATGTTACATACACACTCACTCTCTCGGGCTGTAATGCTGACAGACTGTGTCGCGGCTCCTCACGGCCTGAACAGCCGCCAATGGCATCAGCTGGTCCCACTGCCCTCTCCTCATACCCAGGTCACTTACACTGTTATACTGGGCTCTGGATAGCAGCCGTGGGGAAGGCGGGTAAACTGCGCTATGAGGTTGTAAAGCGTGAGGACCTTCACGGCAGAGGCAGCTATGGGGGGGCTTTGTGTTGGGCTGTGAGGGAGAGCTCACCCCTTTGCTGTGTCACACACAAGGAGTGAGGGAGCCCCCAGGAAGCTCTCTCTGCTCTGGGTGGCAGCTCGGGGACGACCTGCTGCCCTAAGGACAGGACACAGGAAGCCTTGTGACGTGGGCCTGAGGAGACTTGGCTTTGAGTGCGGGGAGTGAGTGCTGTGAGGCCTGAGCTGGTGGAACCAGAGTGGGAGGGAAGCCGAGAGGGCGATGGAACCAACCCAGGGACACTGGGTGTGTGTAACGGTGGAAGTGGTGTTTACCAACTTTACCAACCTGTTCGCTCCATCCACTCGGTGTGCACTGGGCTGCTCCATGCCCCCGCCCTGCCCGCTCCACCATCAACTCTTCTAAATTGAGTCTTTCCGTCACCATCACCACCCTATGGAACTCAATCTTAGAGAACCTCTATCTCTCCTGCTCCTTTGCCTCCTTCATGCCCATCTCAACACCTTCCCCTTTGACCCTGCCTTCGGTTATCCACCTACCCCAATCCCTTGCACTCCACCCGTCTCTGATCCCAAACCCAAGCTCAAGTGCAAACTCTCATTGCCTTGGTACGTCTTCCTGATATGAAAGGCCCTAAACTTGCAATTGATGTTGTTGCCGTAGAGGCTGGGGCCACCCGTACCTTCCAACCGCGTCCCTGTAAAGCTGTAAGACATGACCCTGCAAGAAATTAATATAAATATTAGATTTTTTTCGATCTTCCCCAATTTAGGAAGGGTGCCTGTGTGTGTATGTGTGTCGGTGTGTGGGCAAGTATGTATGTGCCTGACCCTGGTCCCAGCACCTTGGGACTTGCTCCCCACGTGAAAGGCTCCTGTATATACATGTCAATGTGTATTGTGTATTGTGTTGTTACTGTGTTTGTGTCTCTGTGTCCAGGCTGCAGGATCATAATCTGGGAGATTGTGAAGTGAAGCAAATGTGCAAGGATCTGAGGAACCTGGAGTGTAAAATACCGAGTCTATGGTAAGTAAAATACTGTGGACATGGTGTCAGTAATTGGCTCTCAGCACAAATTATTATATCCTGAGAAGCTACGGACAATATTATTTCTAAAAGTTCCTGAAAGCTACAAGGACTGGCTCAGCGGCAGCGGTTTGAGGAAAAGTCACTGGGAGCAGAGATTCTTCCCACTCACTTGCTGCTGACCCTGTGGGACTCAATATTTACAGGTTGGTGTGTGTCCTGTCCAGAAAATGGAGGGATGTTTCCCTCCCACGGGGGACCTTACACAGCTTTAGCTGATTAAACTGCTGCAGCACCTATAATAATAGTAATAATAGTTGAATTAGATATAGTGCTTTTCACATTTTCTAGACGTCTCAAAGTGCTTCACAGAAAATACTTTAAAGTCAATTGACGCATTTTTGTGGGCGAAACCCGGCAGCAAATTGTGCACAGCAAAAACCGACAAACTGTCGTGGATTGAAGTGACCCAATTATTATTGGGGTTTTTTGAGGGATTTTTGTCAGGCATGTGGAGAAAGAAAACTTGCCCAAGGTTTCTCCCTGCTGGGATTTGAACTCAGGGATCTCGCTTGTGAGGCCAGGTATTAGATGCGCATTTGCGTATTAGCTACTATTTGACTGCCGTCAACATGAAGTGCCAGGGAACGTTTTGCCAATTGAAAAATAGATTCACAACGGCTCTTACAACACAAGCAGCTTTCTCAGTGCAATATTTTGTTTTCAGTTGTTGGCAACAAATCGCTTTCTATCGGTCAAAATTAAGAGTCACAGTGAACCCGACTGAAGGTTCCTACACTCCAACCCCCCACTCACCACCAACAAACATTGTGTAGTCACTGAACCTCCAATTGCACCAACCAACAACCAATCCTGTAATCCTGAATGTAAGTGTCTGTTGCACGTACAACGACATTTTAATGTGAAGGTGGAAAATTGTCAGCCCCGGCCCTTTCCTCCTGTCCCAGACAATCCATCCCATCCACAGTCTCTCATGGCAGACAGCTTTGTATTCAATTTGATCCCTTTTATGGCACCGTGTCTCTCATCTCCAGGCTGTGTAATAAATAATAATACGCAATGTGTTTAATCTGATCCCTGTTATGTTTCTTTGTCTATAATCGTCAGGCTGAGCGACATCGATCTGACAACTGGTAGCACCGAGGACTTGACCTCCGATCTCAAAGTAAACCACAAACTGACGGAGCTGAACTTGAATTATAATAATCTGGGAGATCGTGGAGTGAAGCGACTATGTGAGGCTCTGAGGAACCCGAAGTGTAAAATACAGAGACTGCGGTAAGTAACACACTGTGTCTCCAGAGTCTGAATGACGCCAATATCTCCATGTGTTTATTGTGACTATCTGATCAGTGCGGCTGAATATTGTGACAGGAATCGGTGTGACAGTGTGAGTCCACAAGCCATCTTTTACATCAAACTCTCAACATGTATAACGTGTCTGTGTCTGTCTGTGTTTGTGTTTGTGTCTCTCTCTGTCAATCGCACCATCGCCCGACCCGTCCACACACTGTGGGTTTGCAGTTCTCTACTATTGTCAGCCGTGTGTCTGACACACACACAAACCTGTCATCAGGCTTCAAACTCTCTAAACCAACCTCCTGACAGTTCCACATCTGACTGGAGATTTGTGTGTATGAAATGGAGGCCATTCTCTCCTGCACAGGGGAAGCTTCTTATCCACTGGGGGACTTTTAAGATCAATTGTGGGTGAATCTAAAAGCAGTCTCACTGGGAGCTCAGAGCAGTATTGAACAGTGTGTATTTATTTGTTTGTGTTTATGCGCGCGCGCGTGTGTGTCTGTATGTGTTTGTGTGTGTGCGTATGTCAGCGTGTGCTATCTGGGTGTGTCTGTGTATGTTTTCATGTGCGGGTGTTTCCGCGTTTGTGTATGTTTGCGTTTGAATGCGTGTCTCTGTGTGTGGTTTGCTGCTATATGTTTTTGTGTGTTACTGTGTGTGGGTGTTGCCCGTATCTGCTGCGTGTGTGAGTGTTTGTGTGCGTATCTGTGTGTGTGATTATGTGACTGAGTTATGGGTGTATGCTTATCTGTGTGCACGTGTGACTATATATGCATATGAGTCTGTTTGTGCGCGTAAGTATGTGTATGTTTGTTTTTGTCTGTCTGTGCACATGCGAGTCTGCGTGTATGTGTGTGTGTGTGTGTTTGTGTGTGTACGTGTGTGTGTGACTCCTGCAACCTGTCCAGCTCAGAAATGCATGATGCTGGGGCTTCCTCCCCAATCCTGAGACACATAACTTTGGTAACTGATTCCATGTGTATTCCCAACTGGCTTTAGCACCCGGACGCAAATATTTTTATGGAGAAATCATGTCCTGAGGTATTGTTTAGCTGGTTTCTTTACAGTCAAAACGTCAGTGCAAAACCCTCCCCCAGAATAAAGTCTGCACAGCTTGAGCCCTGAGTTAGCCTATGTCTGCTCACACACTGCAGTCTGAGCCCTGTAGCTCAGTGGTTAGAGCCCTCGCCTCGATAGCGAGAGGGCCTGGGGGTGATTCCTGGCAGAGCAAAATCTTACGGATGTCTTCTTATTCCACTCGTGTCTGTTTACCTCGCAGTCAGTCACAATCCGGGTTTTAATTGCAGATCGCATTTTCAGGGTTAATATTCCCTTCAAATCAATATTTTGCGAGAGACTGAGAGATAGAGGGGGACTGAGAGAGAAAGAGATGGGCAGGGAGATACATAGACAGATAGAGAGACTGATAGAGAAGATAGACTGGGTGAGAGAAAGACAGAGTAAAAAATAGACTGAGAGAGAGAGGTTGACTAGGGGAGAAGAAATATAATGAGAGAGAGAGACTGAGTTAGAGAGAGAAAGAGGGAGAGAAATTGAATCAGGGAGAGACAGAAAGAGACAAAGAGGGAGACTGAGACAGAGTGACAGACTGAGAGAAAGACAGACAGAGTGAGAGAGAATAGGGTAGATTAAATATAATATGTAGTGAAGGTCTATTTTGTGGGAGAGACTAAGAGATAGAGACTGAAAGAAAAAGAGAGACAGATAGAGACCCAGAGAGAGACAGGATAGTTAATGAAATATATTGGTTGACAGAAATAGACACTGTTAGATACAGATAGAGAGGGACTGAGAAAGAGTTTGAGAGAGAGAGAGATTGAGGGACAGAGGCTGAAAAAGCGAGAGAGAGGGAGACTGAGAAAATATGTTTTCAACTGTAGCGAATGTGTGTTTTGTGGGTGAAACAGATACAGAGTGATTGAGAGAGATAGAGAGAGATTGGGATAAACTGCGAGAGAGATAGAGAAAGAGATTGAGAGAGAAAGTGACTCAGAGACACAGAGTGAGAGACAGACTGGGGGACGACTTCAGAGAGCCTGAGGGATAGAGCCTGAGACACCGAGCGAAAGAGACCGAGCCAGAGAGGGCATGATGGAGAGAGAGCGAGAAAGAGAGACAGAATAAGAGAAACAGAAAGACTGTGAGAGAATAATAATAATAATAATCCTTGCATTTGATATAGCGCTTTTCACGTCGGGAGGACGTCCCAAAGCGCTTCACAGAACATACTGCAAAGTGAATTCACTGTATATTTGTGGACGAACGCGGCAGCCAATTGCGCACAGCAATGTCCCACAAACAGTCGTAGATTGAAAATGACCAATTAATTTTTGTTTTTGGTTTTTTTTGAAGGGATTATTATTAAGCGTGTGGAGTAAGGAAACTTGCCCAAGGTTTCGCCCTCTGCCTGGAATTGAACTCAGGTCTCTCACTTGCAAAGCGAGAGCTCTAACCACTGAGCTTCAGGACTCCACCGTAGAATATATTATAACGTGTAGTAACTGGGTTTTCGGGGAGATGCAGTGAAAGAACTTTAGAGAGAGACTGTGAGACAAAGTGAAAGACATAGCAGGAGACTGAGAGAGAGAGAGAGAGTGAGAGAGAGAGACAGTGAAAGATATATTATCAAAATTCGTGACTGATTTGAGCGAGAGGCAGAGAGAGAGTAACAGAGATAGAGAGAGACTGTGATGTGTGTGTGGACTCATGAGCAGTGTGTGTCTGACCCTGGTCCCAGCGCCTTGGGACTTGCTCCCCACGTGAAAGGCTCCTGTATATATATGTCAATGTGTATTGTGTTGTTACACTATATTCCCTGTGTTTGTGTCTCTGTGTCCAGGCTGGGGAACAATAATCTGGGAGATTGTGGAGTGAAGCGACTGTGTGAGGCTCTGAGGAATTCGGAGTGTAAAATACAGAATCTGCGGTAAGTCACACACTGTGTCTCCAGAGTCTGAATGACTCCAATATCTCAATGTGTTCATTGGACTGTCGGATCAGTGAGGCTGAATATTGTCACAAGAATCTGTGTGACAGTGTGAGGCCACAAGCCATCGTTTGCATCAAACTCTCAACATGTGTTAATGTGTCTGTGTGTGTCTCTTTGTCAGTCCCACCCTCTCCCGAACCCAACACTCCCACCCACGCCCAACCCCGTTATTCCCAACCTCGCCTGACCCCATCACTCCCATCTTCGCCCGAGACCATCACTCCCGCCTTCGCCTGACCCCATCACTCCCACCATCGTCCGACACCATCACTCCCACCCTCGCCCGACCCCATCACTCCTACCCTCGTCCGACCCCATTACTGCCACCCTCGCCCGATCCCATCACTCCCATCCTCGACCGACTCCATTACTCCCACCCTCGCCCGATCCCATCACTCCCATCCTCGACCGACTCCATTGACTCCCCATCAACCCGATGTTCCAATTCAAGATCCTCTTCCTCACCTTTAAGGCCATCCATGGCCTCGCCCCCTCCTACCTCTCTGACCTGCTGACTCCCTACCAACCTGCCCGCTCCCTCCGTCCATCGGGCTCTGGGCTGCTCCATGTCTCCCGTCCTCCCATCGGTGGCCGGGCTTTCAGCCTCTCTGTCCCCACACTCTGCAATTCTATCCCACGGTCCCTTCCCCTCGCTTCCTCCATTGCCTCCTTCAAGGCCGGTCTTCAGACGTTTCTTTTCGACCGTGACATTGGTGTCCCTCCCATCTCTCTGCCTACCCTCCCCCCTCCCCCACCCCTCCCCCGTCACTCCCCCACCCCTCACTCCCACTCCTACCCTTCCCCATCCCTTACCTCTATCCCACCCCTCACTGTTATACCACCCCCCTCCAACCGCTCCCCCTCCTCTCACCCCTCGCCTCCACCACCACCCTCCCTCCCCCATGCTCGGACCCCAACAACGGACTGTTCAGCTTTCAGACGTCCTCCCATCGTGAAAGGCGCTCTGTGGATGTCATTTTGTTGATGTTGTTGTGTATTTGTGTGTCTCTGTGTGTATAAGTTTGTTTGTTGTGGGTGTGTATGGGTATTGATGTGTATATGTTTTGCGTGTGTTTGCGTAGGTGTGTTCGCGTGTGTGTGATTGTGCATGTTTCTATGTGTGCGCGTTTGTGTGTGCATTTATGTGTTTGTTTATGTGTTTGTTTGTGTATGTGCATTTGTGTGTGTGTGTTTGAGTGTGATTTTGTTCCTTGATGTGTTTGTTTGCATGTGTGTGTTTGCGTGTCTGCGATTTTGTGTGTATGAGTTTGTGAGTGTTTTTGTGAGAGTTTATGTGCGTTACTGTGTTTCTGTGTGTGTTTGTGGGTGGTTGTTTTTGGATGTGGTTGTGTGTTTGTTTGTGTGTATCTGTTTACGTGTTTTTATGTGTGTGTATGTTTGTATTTAATTTTGTGTTTCTGTGTGTGTTTGTGTGTTTTTTGAGTGTGTGTCTGTGTTTCTATGTGTGTTTGTATATTTTTGTGTGTATGTGAATGTGTGTGTTGTGTTTGTTTGTGTGCATGTGTGTACATGTTTGTGAGTTTGTTTTTGTGTACGTTTGTTTGTGCATTTCTGATTGTATATTTGTGTGTGTATTTGTGTGTGATTTTGTTTATGTTTGTATGTGTGCTTGTTTGAGTATTTTCGTGTGTGCGTTTGCGCCTGTACGTTTGCTTGTGTGTGTGTTTGCGTGCGTGCAATTTTGTCTGCCTAAGATTGTGAGTGTTTTTCTGAGTGTTTGTCAATTTCTGTATTTGTGTGCGTTCATATGTCTTTAGATGTTTGTGTTTGTTTGTGTATATCCGTGTATGTGTATTTACGTGTGTGTGTGTTTGTATGTGATTTTGTGTGTCTGTGTGTTTTAAGTGTGTTTCTATGGGTGTTTTTATGTTTTTCGGTGTGTGTTTGTGTTTGTTTGTGCATGCATTTGTGTGCGTGTTTGTGAGGTTGTTTTTGTGTATGTTTGTTTGTGTGTTTGTGTGTTTGTGTATTTGTGTTTGTTTGTGTGTATGTGTATGTATGTTTGTACGTGTGCTTGAATTTTTTTTCTATGTGTGTTTACGTGTGTGTGTTTCCGTGTGTTTTCTTGTGTATGTGCGTTTGTGTGAGTGTTTGTCTGTCTTTCTCTCTTTTTGTGAGATTGTGTTCGTCTTTCTGTCTGTGTGTTTCTGTGTGTGTGTTTGTGTGTGCGTGTGGGTGCTTGTGTGCGTGTGTTTGTGTGTGTGCCACTCCTACAACCTGTCCGGCATCAAACAAGTTGTGAGTGACAGTGGTTTACACACACCATGTTTACTCTGATCCCTGTTATGTCTCTGTGTCTCTGATCTCCAGGTTGGACAGTAACAATCTGACAGTTGATTGTACCGAGGATCTGACCTCCGCTCTCAGCACAAACAACTCATTGACGGAGCTGAACCTGAATAATAATAAACTGGGAGATTGTGGAGTGAAGCGACTGTGTGAGGCTCTGAGGAATCCGGAGTGTAAAATACAGTCTGCGGTAAGTAACACACTGTGTCTCCAGAGTCTGAATGGCTCCAATATCTCAATGTGTTTTTTGTGACTCTCTGATCAGTGAGGCTGAATATTGTGACACGAATCGGTGTGACAGTGTGAGGCCACAAGCCATCTTTTACATCAAACTCTCAACATGATTAATGTGTCTGTGTGTCTGTGTATGTGTTTATCAGTTTGTGTCTGTATGCGTATCTGTGTGTGTGTGTCTGTTGTCAGAAACATTTGCAACTATTTCCAACACTTTCAGAATGATCCAATTCCAGTTTACCAATTGTTTCAGTTCAATAACGTTATTCAGGTCAAAACAGCAGGAAATACACAAATAAATGAAACAACAAAATAACACACAAGACAAAAAACGGTACCGACCGGATTTCTGTTACAGCCCTGGTGGTGTATCGCACTGTTCCGCTACCGTTCCCGAGAGATATCTAACACACCTTTGTTTAAAGACGGCTTAATAACTCCAGCCAAAGCTATATTTTTTTAAGGNAAAAAAACTACTTATATGGTTATATCCATAATATGTTTAAAGTCTCCCTTTAACCACATTTGATTCTCTCCTGATCACTCCTCCGTCCAGTGTGTAAATGTGAGCAGACTTTCTGTGTCCTTAAACGTCCTGACCTTATCTTCTCATTGTTTTGGGTTCTGCCTTCAGTCACTGAGCTTCGCCGCCTTTGCACTTCTATTTTGAATTCTTAAACCACACTTTAACATTAACTCAAGAGAACAATGTGTGACTGTGTAAATGTGTGTGAAAGTGTGTGTGTGTGTTTCTGTGTGTGAATGCGTCTGTTTGCATGTCAGTGAGCGCGTGTATCTGTATGTGCATCTGTGTGTTTTTGTGAGTGTGTATGTGTATGTGTGTTTGCGCTTGTTCGTGTATGTGTGCTTGTCTTTGTTTCTGTGTTTGTGCGTGTGTTTATGCGTCTGTTTTTGAGTGTGTCTGTGAGTGTGTGTTTCTGTTGGGTGTTTTGTGTGTGTGTGTGACATTGTGCGTGTTTGTTTGTGTGTATGCTAATATATATGTGTCTCTTTGTTTTTGTATGCGCGTTTGTGAGAGTTTGTGTGTGTGCGTGTCAGCGCCTTGAGACATCCTCCCGTCGTGAAAGGCGCAACACATATTGTTGTTGTTGTCGTGTGCGTTTGTGTGTGTTCCTGTGAGTGTGTGCGACTGTGTGTGTGTTTGTGTGTGTGTTCTGAATTCTTCCCTTCACAGCTGCAGATCATCCAAAAATCTGCAGCTCGTGTACTCTCACACACAGGGCTCCCCGACCCCATCACTCCCACCCTCGCCCGACCCCATCACTCCCACCCTCGCCCGACCCCATCACTCCCACCCTCGCCCATCCCCATTACTCACCCCCTCGCCCGACCCCATCACTTCCACCCTCGCCCGAACCCATCACTCCCACCTTCGCCCGACCCCATCACTCCCACACTCGCCCGACCCCATCACGCCCACCCTCACCCGACACCATCACTCCCATCTTCACCCGACACTATCACACCCACCCTCGCCCAACCACATCACTCTCACCCTCGCTCGACCACATCACTCCCACGCTAGCCTGATCCCATCACTCGAACTCTCGCCCGACATCATCACTCGCATCCTCGCCCGACTCCATCACTCCCACCCTCGCACCCCATCACTCCCACCCTCGCCCGACTCCATCACTCCCACCCTCGCCCGACATCATTGGCTCCCCATCCCCCAGAGGATCGAGTTCAAGATCTTCGTACTCACCTTTAAGACCTTTAATGGAATCTTGTTGTTTAAGGCCATCCATGGCCTCGCCCCCTCCTCCCCTCTCTGACCTGCTGACTCCCTACCAACCTGCCCACCCCTTCCGTCAGATGGGCTCCGGGATGCTCCATGTCTCCCGCCCGACCCGCCCTCCCATCGGTGTCCGGGCTTTCAGCCTCTCTGCCCCCACACTCTGGAACTCCATCCCACGGTCCCTTCCCCTCACTTCCTCTCTTGTCTCCTTCAAGACCGGTCTCAAGAATCTCCTCTTCTGTCATGTCTTTGGTCGTCCTCCCACCTCTCTGCCTTCCCTCAACCCTACTCCATCCCTCCCCACTGCCCCACCCCTCCCCACACCATTCCCCCCACCCCTCACCCGACCCCTCTCTCATGCCCGTCACCTGACTGTTCAGCGCTTTGGGACGTCCTCCCTTCGTGAAACGATCTCTATAAATGTCATTTTGTTGATGTTGTTGTGTATTTGTGTGTTTGTGTGTATGTGTTCGTCTCTATGTGTGTTTGTGAGTGTGTACTTGTGTTTGTGGGTGAGTATTTGTATAACTCACCCACAAACATGTGTGTGTGTATTTTATCTTGTGTTTGTGTGAGAATGTTCACGCGTGTGTGATTGTGCATTTTTCTGTTTGTGGGCATTTGTGTGTGCGTTTGTGTGTTTGTTTGTGTTTGTATGTGTTAATCTATGTGTGTGTATTTGTGTGTGATTTTGTTTTTGTTTGTGTGTGAGCTTGGGTGTTTGTTTTTGCATGTGTGTGTTTGTGTGTGTGCGATTTTGTGTGTATGAGTTTGTGACTGTTTTTGTGAGTGTTTGTGTGTATTTGTGTGTATATATTTGTTTGTGTGTTTCTGAGTGTGTATTTGTGTGTGTGCGTGTGTGCATATTTATGTACGTTTGTGTAATCTGTGTGTTTGTTTGTGTATGTGCTTCTGTGCTTTTTCTGTGTGTTTACTTATTTGTGCTTACGTGCTTGTTTCTGCGATTGTGTGCGTTTGTCTGGCTGTGTGTTTTTTCTGTTTGTTTGTGTTTCTGTGCGTATGTGTTTGCGTGGAAAGGTTTCTGTTTGTGTGATTGTATTTTCTATGTGCGCATTTGTATGAGTACGTTTGTGTGTTTGTTTGTGCATGTATGTTTTTGTGTGTTTGTATTTATGTGTGTCTGTGTTTGTTTGTGTGCATGTGTTTGCATTTGTATTTCTGCGTGTGCGTTTCTCTGTGTGTCTGTGTGTGCATCTGTGGGTCATGTGTTTGTTTGTGTGTGTATGTGTATTCATGAGTGTGTGTGTGTTTGTGTGTGATTTTGTTTATGTTTGTGTGTGCTTGTGTGTGTGCTTGCGTGAGTTGTTTTGCGTGTGTGTGTATATTAATCTGTGGGTTTGTTTGTGTGTGCACATGTGTATTTATGTATGTGTGTGTCTGTGTGTGTATTTGTCTGTGCGTCATGTGTTAGTTTGTGTGTGTGTATATATATTTATGCGTGTGTGTTTGTGTGTGATTTTGTTTATGTTTGTGTGCTTGTGTGAGTGTTTGCGTGTGTGTGTTTCCGTGTGTGTAGGTGTGTGTGCGATTTAATGCAAATGAGGTTGTAAGCGTTTTGTGAGTGTCTGTGCGTTTCGGTGTGTGTTTTTTGTGTTTGTGTGTCTGTATACTTGTGCGTGTTTGGTTGTGTGTATGTTCATTTATGTTTTTGTGTTTGTATGTGATTTTGAGGTTCTGTGTGTGTTTGTGTGTTTTTTAGTGTGTGTCTTCATGTGTTTCTATGTGTGTTTGTATGTTTTTGTGTGTGTGTTTGTGTTTGTTTGTGTGTGCACGTAAGTGCGTGTTTTTGTGTATGTGTGTGTGCTTGTGTGTGTGTTTATGTATGTTTGTGCGTGCTTGTGTGTTTTTTTCTGTGTGTGTGTTTGCGTGTGTTTTTGTGTGTGTGCGTTCGTGTGAATGTGTTTGTGTGTGTTTCTTTGTGTGTGTGGCATTGTGTGCGGATGTGTATCTGTGTGTTTGTTTGTGTGTGTTTCTGTGTGTATGTTTGCATACGTATGTGTCTGCGTGGGTGAGTTTGTGTGCGATAATTGTGTGTGTTTCTGTGTGTTGGGGTTTGTGCGAGATTGCTTGCTAGTATGCATGTACGTGTATGTGTATTTCTGTGTGTTTGTTTCTGTGTGTGTCTGTCTGCGTTTTTGCGTGTGATTATGTGTGCGTTTGTGCGTGTGATTGTATGTGTGTGCTTATGGGTGTATCATGGGTGTTTATGTGCCTATATGTGTCTGCTTATGTATGTGCGTGCAGTGTGGGTATTTGTGTGTATGTTCGTTTATGTGTTTGTGTGTGTTTACGTGTATGTTTGTTTGTGTGTATGTATCTGTATCTGTGAGTACGTGTGTGCTTGTGTGTATTTGTATGTGTATGTGTGTAAATGTGTATGTATGTGTGCGTGTGTTTGTTTTTGTATGCGTGTCTATATGTGTTGTGTGTGTATGTGTGTGTGCACTCCTGCAACTTGTCCGGCTCAGACATGTATGATGTTGGGGTTTCCTCCATAATCCTGAGACGTTTAACTCATTCAAAGTCAATGATTTCATCCATATTCCCAAATGGCTGTAGCTCCAGGATGCAAATTATTTTCGTGGAAAAATTATGTCCTGAGATAGTTTTCTGTTGGTGTATTTACAGTCAAAATGTCTGTGCAAAACCCTCCCTCAGAATAAAGTCTACCCAGCTTCAGCCATGAGTTAGCCTGTGTCTGCTCACACACTGCAGTCTGAGCCCTGTAGCTCAGTGGTTAGAGCCCTCGCCTCGCTAGCGAGAGGGCCTGGGGGTGATTCCTGGCAGAGCAAAACCTTACGGATGTTTCCTTAATCCAGTCGTGTCTATTTGCCTCACAGTCAGTCACAATCCGGTTGTTAGACGATATGTAGATCGCGTTTCCAGCGTTAATAATCCCTTCAAATAAATATTTCACACAAAAAAGAAACAATCAATTCACTTTTACAGTATATTCTCTGAAGAGCTTTGAGGTGTCTCCAAGACATGATGAGGCGCTGTATCAAATGTCAGGATTATTGTTATATGATATATTATATCTGGATGTCGGGCAAACTCTCTGAGGCCCGCTCGCTGGGGGCAGGGACTGTCTGAGGGACGTTTCCATTTTTGTATTCGCTTGTGGTCTCTGACGACTCTTCCTTCCGTGGGTGACGGCCTGTAGTGAGCGACAGTGTGTTATACACACTGTGTTTACTCTGATCCCTGTCGTGTCTCTGTGTCTCTGATCTCCAGGATGTGGGGTAACAGACTGAGCGATGGCTGCACTGATGATCTGGTCTCCGCTCTCAGTACAAACCGCTCACTGAGGATCCTGGACCTGAGGTCTAACTCCTTCACAGACGGCTCTGTACCCGCTCTCCGCCGCCTCATAGAGACCTGCACCAGTCTGGAGGAGATCAGGTGAGTGTTTGTGTCAGTGTTTAATGTGATCAACACACAGAGAAAGGGCTGCGTATCAGAATGGAAACAGTTTCAAGGGATTTAGTTATTTTTGTACTAAACTGCGACATGAACAGTTTACAGTTTGTATCATTATCCCATGCGTTATCCCATTATCCCATTATCCCTCTTTAATGTGTTTCAGGCTGTGGGGGAATAGGTTCAGTTCAGACGGACGGAATCAGCTGAGGTCACTGCGGGGAATCAGAGCTGAGCTCTCAGTGAGCTTTTCCTTCTTTGGCTGAGGCATTGACTGCCCACACAGTCTGTGTAAGATGGAATATATTCTGGACACTCTAGTGACTGATTATTAAAGATGTTAATCCTGAATCCCCTGCCATCTCTGCTCTGGTGACCGTTAATGACACACACCGCCTACGGGCGTGCGGGCGGCTGGAAATCCCAGCCCTCAGTCACTGCTAAACTGTTGTAATCGAGTACAACTAACGCATTTTCTCTCACAGTTAGTGTCTGTGAGAAAATGAGAGCAGTCAGTGTATGTGTGTGTGTGTGAGCGCAGTCAGTGTGTGTGTGTTCGGGTGAGAGCAGTCAGTGTGTGTGTACATGTCCGAGTACAATTGGTCTAATTGTCTAACTCCAGCAATGCTTTATGACATGGCAATTATGAATATATATATATGTGGTATAAAAAGCAGTAAATTAGGAAACCATACAATAATATCAAAAGAATACACAACTAAATCTAGATATTCAGAGCAGAGCAATACTACCGGACTTCGTTCATTCAAGACGTTGTTGATTCAGCACTTTCCCTTTTCTGCAAACAAGTCTTTCGATCCTCAGGCCTTGAACCAACGCTTTGTTTCCAACTTTCGGTCTTCTGTGCTCCACCCTTTCGCTTTCCTTTGCTCTTCTTTGTCCTTCCTATCCAAGTCCCGAGGTCTCAGCAGTCTTGCTCTGGAGTTAACTAACTTTTAACCCTATTACACTGTAACCTTTATTACATGACTGTCAGCAATCAAGTTATACACCATATTGTCCAGTGTCACCTGCGCGGGTGATCAGTACGTGTTGTTTTTTTCCATTTCCCCACTGTCTGGCCTTGAAGATAAGATAAGGCTGAGGGGCCCACAGTGGTACTCACGGCCATCGGTGTTCTGTTCAAATATTCAGTTCATTTCCGCTAATAAGGTTAGTACACTCGTGATCACAGCATTCTCAGCATTATATGATTAATTCTTTGTAAACACATCTACTTCTTTTGTGACCCTAAAATCAAAACTAACTTTTCCAGATGTATTTTTCAAGCCTGAGTATTATTGACGCTAACCCATTTTTTAACCGTCCCCACCTTGAAACCGAATTAATGATAATAATGAAGTCTCACAAATATACCAAGACCAATTGACCCCGTAACCGCGCGTTCTACCACACCCGACGCATACAAAACTCGCGCAGTTGCCAATGTAGACCCTGTCCTCTGAGCAGGTATAGACTGCTTTTGTGAAGTAGATGACATGTTGGGTTGTACTTGTCCACTTATCTCCCCCCAAGACGGTCGAGCTGAAATTGAACGTGAAGACCGGCTTTGCGGGTGGGAGGGTAAGCGAAGTATAAGCCGTCTTAGAAGAAGTCGCTGGAAGGAAAGCGACCTCCAGAAGGTGTTACGAGCCACTGTCAGTATCCGTAGGAACTAAATCAGACAGTGAAATCTCCCGTTTCTTTAAACGCTTTAGTTAGTTGTTATGATTGCGGTAAAGTTGGTTAATATGATTGCAGTAAAGTTGGTGACCATCATATGAAGTGGGAATAGAAATTTGATCAATTTTTGCTTCTGCCTCAAAATACATGCACTCTCAGTTATACCAGGGATTCAATTGTACTCGGACATGATCATTAGCTGTAAACACAGTGTCACCTTATGTGGAAACCAAGGGGTTAGCTTTCTGTGAGTAGTCTGAGCTGGTCAGCACGAAGCCTGAGTGTTCGTTTATTTAAACAAACCAGAGTCCGAGCAGTCAGTGAATTTAAACTCCTCACAGTCAGTGAATTTACAATTTGCTGTGCTGTATAAATATAACATCTTTCTTTTACATTTAAGTTGTTCCTCCAACTGCAGAACCTTTTTGTGACACTGTATATGTGACACAGGATCCTGTCTAGATTCCCTGGCCATAGCTGCCTATGTTTTACAGAAGCCTTTGAGGGTAAGGCACTGGAGTTTTGTTGATTTGAGCAACACCTCCAGTCGCCTGCTGGAGGATTAACAATGCTATCAATCTATCCAATTTTTGGTCCACGGGCGAAGGTTTCGAGGTGATTTGGGGTAAATTTCCAATTTGTTTAGACCCTGGTTGTGACTCGCTCAAACAGTCACAAGCAAAGTGCCCTCTATCCACATTCAGTGGGTTTCCTCCCGTTTTATAGCCGAAACCCTGGCCGCATCCATCTATCTCCCTTTGGAGCATAATAACCTCGGCCAACACCGCAGTTATTATGTCTGTAAGGTCTATTCTGTGCGCGCCGCTCCCCCCTTTACCACAGTAATTCCCAGGACCCTGTCCTCCTTCGCACACGTGTTCAGTTTTAATTTGGGGTTTGACTTCAGCCTTTAACTCCTCGCTCTGGGGTGTCAGGAGGATATGTTTGCGGTCAGCATCCTCTGGTTCCTGATGGTAGCGGCGATAGCTATTCCAGCGCCACTGCACTGGGTTTGTTTTACTGTCAGTGGTGCCGAGTGTTCGGCTATAATCAGCGCATTCCGCGACAGTCAGGGGGCGACTGTGTGTCTCACCTTTCCTACAGCTTCTCCTTACGCATACATTTCCCGATCTGTCATTATTATAGCTACCTGGGGGGAGTGGGGGGTGGCATTACCCCCGAATCATAACGTGAGTCATCACAGTTATATGCCTCTTCGTCTGTGTCTAAATCATCCCAATCGGGATCCTGATTGTCCAGTCCTCCCCTGTGACTGCAGACCCTAACCCCGCCCTGTCTGTCACAGTCGTCTGAAGGCTTCAATTTCTCTCTTGCATTTTTGGTGATCCCCTGACATGGCTTTGATCTGTTCTACACTCATGGGGACAGCCCCTTGTGCAGCCTTTAGCTGACTTTCTGGTTTTTGAATGTTAATCGGGGCCTCTCGGAGTAAAGTTACCCTTTCCTCATGGTTTCCCCTTTCGGGCTGAGCTAAGTTCAGAGTTCCGGTTTTCTGGTCCAATACCATTCTTAATTCTCTATTTTTACATCGATAGCGCTCTAGTTCTTTCTGTAATGTCGCTTTTTCTGCCTCTTTCTTTTCCTTATCAGAACAAATTTGGATTTTTCTCTTATACGATTCGTTCTCTTTCTCTTTCAGGGTGTGCATCATCTCATCCATTTCCTCCTGTTTCTCTTCCAACGCCATCTCATGCTTCTCTCTTTCTCCCTTTAAATCATTTTCCTTTGCTTGTAACGCTTCCTTTAGCTCGTTATTTTCCTTCTATGCTTCTGGACACCCTATTCACATATTCTACCTCATTACATGTATGCACGTACTTCCTTGTTTCAACTTGCCTTCAATCACTTGGCTCTCGATATAAGATCTGTCTCGTTGAAAAGTTCGCTCTTCCAACTCTGCCGCCCTCTGTCCGCTTTGGTGCATATTTTATCCTCATAATTTACCCATTTCTTGAAAGTTTGCTCAAACTTGCCATCTGTTGACGGATTAATTTTTTTTAACGGCGATCACAGGTTTCTTCCCTGATCTTGCTCCCGAATTTTTCTTTTGCGGAGCTCACGGGGTACTTTCCTGTTCTTGTTCTCTAACCTTTTTTATAAAGCAGAATTCACAGGTTTCTTTCATGTTCTTGTTCTCCAATTTTTTAAGCAGAACTCACAGGACTTTACCTGTTCTTGTTCTCTAAACATCAATTTTCCCTCCATTGGGCTCTTCAGGAGTTAGGAATATGGATAAGAATTTATATATATTTTGCAGACCTTTTGAGAAAAACCTATCGTATGTAAACATTAAACCTTTTAGACGGTACCCAACATATCAGAGTGGCTTCAGGTCATTTAATACCCTTGCGAACTTTATATCTTTATTTTTAGATTGTTTCTAAGCACATACATGTAACACATTCATGTTTTTCTTATTATTTTATTAAAACTCCACCACTCGGATCCTGCTGACGACGCAAATGTGTTCCTGACCGACCTTTTAATTGGATGAGAGCCAAAGGATTCATTAGTGCTCCATATTTTCATACGCTCGGCCCAGTATTGCCAAACCATGCTGTTGGCCTTTGATTTATCGGCAAGTCTCCTCAACCTTATCACCTACTGACTAAGAGGGACGATCTTACAGCAGCTTTTCAATAACGAATAAAAATCAAATCTTTACATTCAAATAAAAAAAGACTCGACAAAACATCTTTCAATGCTTTATTTCAACGCTCAACAGGTAATACCAATCAAACAATACATAGAAAGGTATATGATCCAACAAGCAATACTGCAACGACGTAAACAACAACAACAACTCCCCTCTCCCCTACCACATATCTCCCTCATGCTCGGGCCCCGACTCCTGGCTGTTCATCTCCTTGGGACGTCCTCCCGACGTGAAAGGCGCTGTATGTAAACGTCCTGTTGTTGTTGTAGTTGTGTAGTTGTGAGGCTTTGACTGCGTTGTTCCCCATGTTTAAGAGCCAGTGTCTCGAGGACACACCCCGGTTGGCCGCGGGCACCGGCTGCTGTTCGGGGATCGGTTGGATTCCGATGGCTTCGCCACTCAATAGGGCTTTATACGGTTCCGAGGGCAGTTTGGGGGCAGACTGGCTTGGCCCTGGTTCTCTCACCTGATCTGGTTCAGGGGTCAATCCCCTTCTATCCTGGTTTAATTTAGCGCACGGTTTGACTTGCGGTTCCTGCCTCGCAGCCAAACATCCGCACGGGAATATAGGGTCAGACTCCGGGAAGGAGCAGAGCCCTCCATACAGAAACCCCAGCAAAGGGGAACCAACGGAGCCATTCCACCTCTCACTGCCCTGTCCAACCACCTTCCTCTCTCCCCTCGCTCTCCTTCCCCTCTCCCCATCCCCTCTCCATCCCTCCGTTGTCACAATCTCTCTCTCTCTGAGCACATTCTCTGTCTCTCTCTTTTCCCTCTCTCTATTTCATCCACTTCTCTCTCTCTCACTCAGCTCTTTATGTCTCTCTTTCTTCTCTCCAACTCTTTGTTTCATCAACTTATTTATCTCGCTCTCAGCTGTTTCTCTCTCTCTCTCTCTCTCTCTCTTCCCTCTCTCTCCCACTCTCTGTTTGATCATATCTCTCTCTCAGCTACTCTATCTCTTTCCTCTGATCCCTCTCTCTGTTTGACC